CATCTTTTCTAGGGGGAAAACGCAAGAATCGGATAAAATTAAAAGATTAACTGCCGTCCAAAAACATGTGTTGCCTTTACAGAACAGTTCGAAATCACTAAGTGTCAAAGAGAAAGGGAAATTGAAACTCGTTCTCGATCTTTCAATTAATCAGGCATAATGAAATTTTCTTTAGAATTTATTTTCTCTTATCCACCTCCGGTTCTCGTTCGAAACAGAACTCCCGCTAGTCAGAGTCTGCGGTTCATTAAGGAAAATGTTTTTTTCAGATCATATCTTACTCTTAGCGAGGGATCAATTTCCTCCCAATTTACTGGCGAAAACAGATTAACCGAATTGAGTTTTCCACAATATTTTAATCCATAGGCCTTATAAGATCTGATTCTGAGAACAAATATACTTTTCTTTAATCATTATTGATGGGTTTGACGCATTCACACTCACTTGCATTTGGAACTGACTTTTCTAAAGGAAAATATCATTTCTTAAGAGTCTTTTTGACAATTTTTTTTACCAATGTGACCTTGCTGGACATTATTATCATTCAATCAAGATAAAGGAACTGAAACTCTTTCCTTCGATTTTATCTGATCGTGAAGAATTGCAATAAATATAGTGTTGCCGGCCTAATTTTATCATTTTTATTCATCGGCATCTTCAGTGGTTTGGAAAACTAAACCGATAGTTCGCCGACCTTAATGTGAAAAGCTTCCTTTGTAGACACTAAAGGTAAACAAGAAAGAACGAGACATAGGAAACATCAACTATTTTGACTGCAGGAAAGACTCTATGAACAGATTATCGATTATATTTCAGTCGTTTGATGTATCGGCCTGTCTAAAGATAGCAGCCAGAATTCAGAATGAATGAACTCATTTCAAACTTGCGGCCTATTTGTTAGACACTTAGAGGGTACATTACGGTTGCGTTTGTCAAAACTGGATGGAGTCAAATTTAATGTTTTTTCAGTTTATTTGGTTTAGTCACTCTGTTTACTCTAATAAACGCGCAGGCCTTTGTGTAGTTTTTCATTTAGACAAGGAACACTTTCAAACACTTTATTCTTAAAAGCCCCTCACCTGAAAATATAAAGTGGCATATGGATTCTAAGCTGCATAGTTTAAAGGTAAGTTTCCGTAGATTTAAGACTCCAATATATTCATGCACTATGTCTCATTATTTACCCGATCTCTTCCTATCTTTTAACCATGCATAAGGCGCATTTTTAGAAACGCATATTATTACAATAATGGTTCATTCTGCATACGAGCCCAGTGGCCCATTTAGGCATAACTCATCCCGGTTTCCATAAGATGAAGTGATAGGGCTGAGTTAATTAATAGACGATTAAATCAACCTAGGGTTAGTGAACATTTTTTATCACAGGTTAATTGATTTGCAATCAGTTAAGCAATTGCTACTTAATTTCCTTCAGGTTTTTTTTTTTTAACTAAGCTAAACACCCCTCATACGTACAGAACCTTCGCCCTGACTTCGCTTTTAAACTACAGCAGAAATCTAGCGGAGGGGTTAGGATTTATTCTGGAGTAGCGCTGGCTGCTATTCGAAGAACCGACCTCCCCCCCCCCCAAACATTTCGATAAGTTTCCTTGAAAGTTCGCTGGCAGTGAGAATTTTAAAAGTGTCTTATTTCTTAGTGACCCGGCCGGTTCTCAAACCTGAAGTCCAGTGTACTGCTTGATATGCTGCGTTACTCAATCCGAATCAGGACAGACAAGGCCTTTTATCCCAACGAGTACCTTGTGTATAATTATTTTTTTAAAGCATGAAAACAGGAATAGTTTCAGAACACGTCGCAAATGTATTCTGCCAAGAGAATATCAACTCAGGGTCGAGGTAATAAGTCACGTAGCTACTCAATAATAAACGGCAGGGATTTTCAAAATTAAGAAATCATCAAGATCGAGCCGGTTCGCTTTCCCTAAAATGTGTTATATTGCGCCATTGCCGCTTGATAACCCGCGAGGTAATTCACCTGAATCAACCATGGCAAGATAGTCATTTCATCTAATCAAACCCTCTCATGAAAGATCTTCCACGCACCTAACTTGTGGAGTACAGGGGAAGAAATACTCAGGCTTTAAGAGGTGTGCTCAGAAGTTACGCTTTCTCAAATTGTGTTTTTATCGTCTTGACCAAAAAATGTCATTAAGTCATTAAAGCGAACAACACAAATCACAAACCATAAGCCACCAAACATCACACATCAAATTTCACCACAGAACCACCAACCCATCAGCTGTTATTCTCAAACTAATAGCACCGCAGAAACGCGCACTGAAATAAGATTTAAAGAAACTATCATTGGAATTGGGGCATGTACGGGGGATAAGATCTCTTAGCTGATACTCTCTTGTCTCAAATGGATTCTGTTCATACAATAGGTTATAGTGAGTTCTATTTGCGTTACTGTCGTGATTTGATCGATTCACAGGAAAGTGTTGATTCGCATAAAATGGAATGTAGGAACTGGACGCCAATATAAGCCTTTTATTTCAGTTGATACTTTTTGAAGAAAGGTTTTTCAATGTGTTTTACGAACGTCGTGCTTGCGAATGCTCAGTCCCAAATTTTATGTCATATGGGCACAAAATCGTAATTATACTGGTTTACTGTGTAAATATACATAGCTATTAGTGAGCGTCACGTACAAGCTAGTTTTCTGGCATTACACAGAATATAAATTTACATAAAATAAATAAATATTGTTTGATAGAATGCTAAAAATCGTTATTTGAGTAACATAATTATTTTACAGTCAGAATATTAGAACAATAAACATTTGGATAAACATTTGGAAAGGAAAAATAGAAAATCTTGGTGTCAATGTAAAAGACTTTTTAAATATTCGATCAAGCTAGATCGATTTAGCAGGTCTTATTTTCTTGTATTGATTTAAGAGAGTTTAAAGACCGCACCGTCTTAACTTTGTGCGGTATTGAGTTCCATGATTTCGATACAATGTATTTACGATTCTAAGCCGCAAATTGATGTTGGGTCTCGAGTACGTCACCAGGGGGTAGGTGTAAAGAAGGAAACCCCGCCCCCTCCCTCCCAAATTTTCTTGTCAGGTGGCCCCTTACAAAATTTTCCGAGCAAGAACCGCACTTACAAAACCGAAAAATGTATAGTATATGCACAGTTCTCTTGAAGATACACACTTGAAAAGTTCCAATCCTCTTTAAATTAGAAATCGAAACCGATGTTCTTGGCAACTTTTTACCCTCTGCCCCACAACCGTGATTTCTGTTGAACAAAACTGATCATTCGTTCGTTTTCTCTTGTCGGTGGTTGCAGCCTTTCGCGACCAAATGGAATCTCAGGAAAGTTCGCTGTTCGTTCGTCTTTTCTCATATTCGTGCAATTTGCCATCTCCTTCCTTCTCACTTTATTCCGCGGCAGGAAATTCCTCTGTAAGCGCCAAGATTTTTTCCCCTGGTTGTTTTCATTCGCGCATAGCAGCTTTTCAAAGGACGAGAACAAGTCAAGGAAAAGGTAGAAATACAGTACAAACACCAAAAAACCAACTTCAGCGTTCATGTCTGCGGAACGAACACAGTGTCTCCAGCCAAGGTAAGGACGAATGTTTAGTTCTGATTTTAACGCCTGTTATAAGGACTGTGAAACACGTCCTTCTCAGAAAGCCACACACCGATGCTCGGTTGCTGAATAACTCATATTTTCCGAAAAAGCCTAATTAAGTCTTAAAATAATTGGCAAAACCCTTGACAACTCTTTTACAAAAATCTTTCAGTTTCCTCTCCATTGTGGCTTCATACTGTACAAAGCGGTTTGATTTGAATTCACCACATGCACACCTGCAAGAGGGCTGGATTTGCATGAAGATAAAACAATAACATGTTGATACGCTGTCCAACATTTAACAAAGGAAACCGCATTGGTCGCTTATTAACGTTCGACTTTATAGCAAATTACCAAAATACTGCTTAAACTTTAATGTTGTTTCAACATGGCGCTGAAGTCGAACTAATTTCAAATTTCTTCAAAAGCAAAAAGCAGCTCATAAACACCATCAAATCGAAGGGAAAGTCCTAAAGTTCTCCACCAAGATCTCGTTAGCACTTTCTCATTAATGAGTCGATTATTAATTCACCAAGAAGACAGCTATTAAGAAAGATGGATTTCCTTTTGTCTTGTCACCAAAAACACACTGACAATTTAAGTGCTTTGAGAGCAAACCGCCATCACTTTAAGAGAAGCCACACGTTGAAGCTACAAGCAAAAAATCAGAAATTCACCTGACAAAACTTAAATGTCAATGAGATCGATTCCACTTAAAACATAATTGGCCGGTTTCCAAGTTTTCAATTTTGTTTTACCGCGAACGCTTAATTTGATGTGCTAGGAAAATTCTCTATATTCCTCTGGTAAAAAAGGCCAAGTTGTCCGATCCACGCTTTGAAAGAGATAACTGTTAACCATCAAATTAAAACACCCTCGGTTGTTATTACAGCAATCCAAAGTAAAAGCGTCTGAGGTGAAGTAATTGCCACCAAATTATTTCGTGTCCCCTACCTTACTTGGCGAAAGAGGGAACATTCTCACTCGAATGACACTCTAAATTTAGCATATTTACTAGCAGGTGGTAAATTGCCAGGGAAACCAAAGAAAAGAACATTTGGTGTTAAAATAATAAAGTTGTACATCAAGAAGCTGAATTATTCTCGATTGACTGATTGATTGAGGTTGTATCACTAAAGATTGAGGGAGGCGAAGTGCGATTAATTGAAAAAGATAAAGCTGTGATGTCAATAAAAGTTAGTTTTGATTGATCCACATGTCTTCAGTTCAGTGCAGAACGGTATCTTGTTATTTTCCCGTCATTTCATTTTTTCTTTCACATTTTTAGTTCATTCAGACCTCTCCGATGTCAACTTTGACAAATATCATTTGCAGGTTGTTGTAAATATTTATTTTCACAGGCAATTATTCACAGTTACAAAAGAAATAACATTTCATAACGTAACTTACAGTTCTGTTTTATTTCTAATACAACTATTACAGCTAACTCGACACTACATTCTAGTTATAGCATCGCTGAGTTAACAATAACACAACGCCTTCAGAGTAAAAGATCGAAATAATTTCTAAGGAATCTAATTACTTAGTGACTTTCTTCTGAGAGAGATTGATTTTGTCTCCTAAGCTCAGAGCCATTCCCTGCAAAGAAATCAAAATAAGTACAACAACGTTTTCACGAGGTTACCAAGCAATGTAGCATAATGAAGACAAATAAGAACCCGTTATCACTCACAGGGGATTCCCCGGGAAAAAAACCTTCGCTTCAGGACGAAAACGAGTAATTTTCCAATTATTTCAACTACCTTCTACATAAGATAAAAGCACGGTATATGAGCTGCTCGTTGGGATTAAGAGAACCACACAGAACACTAGAGAAGCATCACCTAGGGCTAAGAGGTTAACCCTTTTCACACCCAAGGCCTTAATATAAATTGTCTTTACTGTTTACCATACTCTTTCATAAGGTTAAATAATTTAATTATAAGTAAAAAAATAACCTATGGTTAATATTTCTCTTTCTTCTCACCACCACTGTTTTTAAAATTGTACCACTGACATAAGGAAATTTTCCTTTTAAATGACTCTTGGGAGTGTAAGGATTAATATAAAATAAAATATCTACGAGGCTGATTAGAGGTCTCAAGTTATTGTAGAACGTCCCATCTCACGCATGGGACGATATCACTTCACGTATAACTGTTAGCAAAAAATCGTTCTTACCTGGCTCTTAGCTCGGATGCGCACGTGACCAGTAACTGATGGCCCCGATTGGTCACTGGGCTTCTCGATTGACACGTTAGCCAAAGCATCTTCTCCAAAAATACTGCGGGCGTACAAATTAGCCGCCATAAAACCACATTCACCTGCCAACGCCTGCAGAAAAACGGGAAAGGGCAGTTAGAGGGCTGGGTCACGCGATACAAGAAAATTTCATCACTGACCAGCGAACAGTGTTCCATTACAGGGAAAGTGCCATTGTTTCCATACCTTGTCTGGGGTCAAACATTTCATGTTAGTTGAAGCAATCAAGTGATCCAAATATTCACGGAGATCGGTGATGTTTGTGTTCACAGTCACCTAACAAAGATAAACACGTTAAGGATCAATTTAAGTGCCTTTAAAGCAAACTCAGTCGCTGTATGAGCTGCAGCGCTAAAAAGGAAGAAGCTACTTGTTACAAACTTTACCATGATGAGAGAAACAACAGACATAAAGGTGACGAGGCAGCCAACTCGCGGGATCTAATTCTAAACCATGAGTTACAGAAAAAACTACAAGGTTCACATTGCTGCTAGCTTTCCCGAGACTCTTCCAGGACCATTAAGACACAATGACCTGTGATCGAGAACGTAAACTCAAAATTACGATGCAAAACTAATGACTAAACAACGACAAAGCTTTTTTCAGTTGTCTTCCGCTCCATTCTTTCCAGGACTAGAAAATCACATTGTAGAATTGCGGAACTTTCTAGGTTTTCCGTGATGCATATCAATCCAGTCTGTCCATTTGGCACTTAAGCCACCTATGCCTTGAACCCGAAGGTTTGAGAAACGAATATAAACAACGAGCATGACCTGACCCTCAAGCGATATCAAAGTTTTGGTCGCCTTTTGCAGAGTAAAACACCGAGGTGCCACCACATGTTGGCTGAGAAAATACCACTCGTGATGATAAAGGTGCCTTTACCTTATTCTCCCACTCAAACTCAGCCCACATCCGCCTGAACTCTGAATCAGTGCAAGAAGCTGGTACAATGTAATCCATGATGTCGATATGAATATCATTCAACACCACACAGTTGCGGTCACCTGTACCTCCTGACACGTCATACACTGTGGAACAGATCAAAAAGACAACTTCCTCAGAACACGATGGCAGTGGGTATTTATATATAGATGGTTAACTATGGCCTATGGTATTCATGGCAAACGGCAAAACGTAAAATCTTCCCGTCTTTTTTCAGCTATTTTTATACCTCTACAGTGAAAACATTTGCCTATCTTGTTCACTGAAGATTTCTTTCCATTGAGAAAGAAACAGAGAACCATAATGTTGGAAAACAAAACCAGGATGAACGCATGAGACAATATCGGACCAAATGGCCTTCTTTATACACCGATACTCACCAATGTTTCCAAAAATAATTCCGTTCTCGGTCGACGAAACTTTCACATTCGCCTGAAAGTTGGCAAAAAATGTAATTAATTATCTCAAATAATTTTTTTTTAAGATTACGGCCGCTCTACGTTGGGGGGCAAAGACAAACCGACTACGTCTGGAGATCAGGACACTTCCGGCATACCCGCTAGAAATTTGTCAAGTTAGCCTAACAACACGTTGGCACCCAGCAGGGGTAGAGGACGGAAGGCAGTGGGCTCTAACCCGGATATTTTCATTTGAAGTCCTGCATGCTAACCATTAGGTCCATTCGATCCTGTTGCTACGGAAAGTCGCTGCTATGCGTACCTTAATGTTGGAGAAGTCGTTCGGTCCCAGCATGATGGGCTGTGGCTTTTCAACAAGCTTTAGGTCTCCTAAAATATGATATAAAAATGTTCAAAAGAGGAAGGGTTTGTAACTAGTGTTTGATAAACAGAGGACTGTGTCAAAACTTGACAAGAACTCTTTAATAACGGCTTCACACAGCCGTGCTCTGACCATGGTAACTTTCGTCTTTGACAAGTTTTCCTGCTTCGAAGGAAGACATACATTCCTCCATCTGCTCTGCAGAGGTTAATTTTTTCAATGAAAACATCTGACTGTGAGGCTCGAAACATAAGCTAACTTACCAAGCGTGGCCAGTTCCAAGGTGACGTTCTGCAGTGTGTCCGAAGTCTGATTCACGATCAGCAAGTCCAACACGATGTCATATTGATTCACGTTCACGTACGCCTCGGCATACACTGGGTCCGAGAAACCAGTCAGCTGCGCCACCTAACAAACGACGAACATTTAAGTATCTGAATTCTCCGTACTGAACTCAGTATGTTTTTGAATGAAAACTCTGGGAGAATTCGGTTTTTTCTTCAAGCAATTGGAGAAACAGTGTCTTTGCTTCTAGCATGTTCTATGGTCTTGGCGTCTAGTGTGTTCTCTAAAATTTTCGCTCCAATATCTTTACGCGTACATACATTTAAATCAGATGGAAGAACATGACCATCCAATTCGGTTCTGATAACCGGAAGAATTACAGCTGTTCCCAAAGGAAATATGATTAAATTTTCGGGATAGATAAAACATCAACAACAATAAAAACAACAAATTTTGAAAGCTATACAAAATCTTATGATCATTTAACTAACTAGTTTGTATTTCATCGAACCGATTGGAATGTTTGTTCAACAGAGGTAACGCGTTATTTACCTTGTTTAGTTTAGATCCCACAAGCTCGTCGTCCTTCTTTCCAGTAGAACCCACCGCTTGAGACAAAGCAAGTGCAAACTGATCCTAGAGATTAATTGAAAAATACACGATATTCAAACTCGAACAAACATGCGAAGCAGGACAAAAGAGATCAACAAAAAAATTATTTTTCTTACCTCAGTAATTCCAGAATCTGGTTTGGCCAACAGCTGCATGAAGGGAATTGGGTCATCAACTTGGATTGCCAGCGCCTTCTCAATTTCCGTCTGTGAATAAAAACAAAACCAACGGTAAAATAAACTAAGTTTAACATCATCATTGAGCAGAAAAATCAGCACTTCTACTAAAAGTGGATGACTGGGTCGACTAAAAAAGTTTTCTTAAATTCATCTACCCCTCCTCTTCTGAGCGTCTAGTCCCGGTTTGTTTGCCTTGCGACAGTAGAACACAAAAAAAATTTTTGCACGTCGACGACAATAAAAAGAGAAAACAAATATCGTCCCGTAGCTCTTCATAGAATGTATTTAACAACATATAATACATAAACAATTTTGCCAAATAATTCCCAACCATGGAAAAAAAGATTACAAATTCTTTAACCCAAGATAACCCGTATAGCTTACGAACAACAGTAAAACAGATTACAAGATGAAATACCTTTGTGAGTTTCTCCTCCTCCACTCTCTTGTCAGCGTCCAACATGGAGGACAGGGAGTTGCGACATTCAACAGTGAAGATGTTCTTCATGACTGGCACACGCTCGGCAACAACACGAACACACAGAGAAATACGATCCACATCGTCATCGGTAATAATCTGAAATGCAACACCAAAAAACCGTTAGAATTGAAAGTTCAAGTGATACAAAATTCCTTCAGTTTTACTTGACGAAGCCGTATGACTGACTTAGCAAATTCGTGCTGCATACTAAACCAAACTCCAATCGCAGCTTATTCTCGCGCACTTCACGCCTTGAATTTTTTTTAGGCTCAATGTGAAAATTTCTTTTGCTCTGATTGGTCATTGCGACTTCTCTTGTCTTGGTTTTACGATAATCGATTAAAACGCGCTCAATACCAAGCTCTCTATTTCTTTTCTTTGGGGGTGGGGGTAGGGGGCTGGGAGAAAGAAGAATTTCTCGATGAGAAGTGCCGCAAGTCATTGCACACCAGCTTGAAAATTACTTTCTTCACAAGCTACAAGCAAATAAGCACACACACCTTCTTTGGTAGGCCTGACTTTCCAAGATGCAAAATACTGGCCATGATGAGCATACAGTTGGCACAGAAGACCTAAAACAAAACAACAGCGTTAGAGTGCGATTTAAAACAATTTAGGATGCTTTGAAGTACATCACTTCACTACAACTACTTCAAAGAGGGTCAGTATTTAAAACAAAACAAAACAAAACAAAACAAAACAAAACAAAACAAAACAAAACAAAACAAAACAAAACAAAACAAAAACAAAAACAAAAAACCCTAATGACGCTATGTAGAAATAATACAATACATCCTGAAACTCACATTCTGTTTCTCCTTGTCTTCCTCCAAGTCCAAATAGCGCAGAGCAAGTTTTGTCAAAGTACAAGAGACAGCCGCCCCAACAAAGAATTCACCATCCAAAAGATATTGACGCAAAGGAGGTCTGTTGGAAAACAACAAATCGAAAGATTCAGTTATCTACACTCAATAATTACGAAAGCTCTAATTTTATTTTCACTCTCCTTAAAACTCAGAAAAATACTTTCGTTTTGACTACATAACCCGCGTTTTGCGTATCTTGAAAATCAACCTTTAACCCTTTAACTCCCAAGATCTCATTAGTAATTCTCCTTACTGTCTACCATACAGTTCTTGTGATGTTAGTTTTGAGAACTTGGTATTAAATCAACTAATAATCCTCTAACTGATATTTTTCTTTATTCTCATCACTTGTCTGCTCATCACTCATCACTTGATATCGTAAGGAGAAATTCTGTCTTGGTCATTTATGAGAGTTAAAGGGTTTAACATTCAATCCGCTCTTTATCTTATTTATCTCGTCAATGCCTCTTTTGTGCTCTTCTTTCTCACCGAACTAATATTAATGATCTCCTTCACCTTCGAATGTTATGACAGAGTTCTTCTAAAATTCAGTGAATCTAAATATCACCTGTTCTCGTCGTCTTTCTTCGTTAGAGAAGTTATTCCAGGAGTGCTTAGAGCACTTTGGGTGGCGTATGTTCCATCGGCTGTCACCAGACGCTGCCCACCCGATGTCTGAGACGCGCTCTGATCTGAACCTGAGGAACACGCAGTGAAGAGGAGGTGCATAATTATTATTAATGCAAAACTGTTTTCGATGCATAATTATTTTCATGAGACATAATTAATTCAGGTAGAGTGAAAAGTCACGTTACAAGTTAAGCACAAACAATGACTGCAGAGATAATTATTAACAGCAAAAAGGTGAAGAAATCGCTGAACGTATTTCCTGAAGATAAATATAAATTGGTTAACTCTCTAAATCATCGCCAGCCCAAAATCTGACGAGCTTTCAAGTAGGTTGCTCAAAACAACTTGCTTTAATAACAAGTAACGGTGTTTTTACCTTCCGTAACATCTCCAGCAGCTCTTCTCATTTCGTCATCCACAATGGGAACCTAAAAAAAATATTCGCAACATCGGTCACTTGTTCACATACCAGACAGGAATATGTCCAAACTACCGAACATAAGTCAATCATTTGGACCTGCTCCGGTCATAAGTTCGATTCACAACCACCTTGAAAAGAAAAAGTCCCATTTCCTTTTCTTCTTTCATTTCTTTCATCCTTAATTCATTCATTGATGACTTAGCAAGTGGATGAGTTATAAAAAACAGTAGCATACATCGCCCAGGGCCTTCTTGATCTCTTCCGTAACATCCAGAATATCCTGTTTGCTGCTGGCATATTCACCCATAATCCACAAGGCATGGCGATGAATCCTATGAAAAATAGCACAAATGACAAAATCAACCAAAAAAAGTGTAAAACAAACAAAAAAAACAGCATCATATGCTTAATCAATACGTCCGCATACATGTTCATGCGCAGGCCAGAATGGCCGGTGGTTCTACTGACATGAAGAGACCCACATGCGAGGGAAAGTTTTCCAAACAT